GCTACTTGAGCGTCAAAGGGTTAATTAAGTCTAATTTCTGCCTTCGTAACAAATATCACAAAAGTAAAGCTTCTCATCATAAACAGAGACAGCTCAATTAGTGTTTTCTGTCGTTGTTTTACTTCTTAAGTATAATTTCTGCCTTCGTAACAAATATTACAAAAGTAAAGTTTCTCCCCATAAACAGAGACAGCCCACTGATTGGTGTTTTCTGTCGTTGTTTTACTTCTTGTTAAGTCTAATTTCTGCCTTAATGTCTTTTATTGAAGCATTCGTTATGTTGTGAATTTGTTTATTTCGCTACTTGTTTGGTCGGAATTTAGCAAAACTTGTTATTTTAGTACAGTTTTAACGCTACTGTTGTTACCAATGGTCTCCGTGTAACCATATCTACCGCGGGCAATTGCAAATAGCTCGTTACCATTGCGTTTGTCTGAGTCACAGGGCATGTTCAATTTGGGTCAATGTGTCAAAATTCCGTAGCATAAATTTGAAAGCCAGCTTACTGTCGTCAACCTGCGCTTTCTTCTCTGAAAAGCACGCTGTTTCAGCCAATCAGAGTGCGCGTTATATGGAAACTTTGTTATACCCATTTTTAATAATTGCAAACAAATTTGATTTCATCATTGGGCAAGTTCCCTAAAGGTGCTCTTTCATGACATGCATGTGCGTTGTTATCAGGTAAAGATCTATTCACTGAGAGGCCTTAAAGACATACCGAACAGATTGTTAATGTTTCATTTATTGAAAATTTCGAGCAAGTGTTTTTCTCTGTTCACAAAGCTTTCCAGAAAAATCTGATCGTTGTGTAATAGAAATGGTACTCATTGTTGTGAAGAAGATTTCAAAGAGACATTGTATTTTACTTTCACTCTAACGTTGATTGAAACTGAAACCTAGCCTAGAGCCCAGAGCTCCTATTAGTCAATTAGGTGAAAACTTAAAACCACCACTTTATTTCTCACACGCAAGCTTAATATGTTTGATTTTGGTGTCAAATAAACTTCGAGCTTTCATTTATTCCTAACAACCTCAAGGCCTAGATATTTTGATTAGATTATAAATTAAATTATGTCGGTTGGGGAATATTGCTACGATATAAAGCACATGTTCTTTTCTTCGCTAGCCCAAGGCTTGCTTTCGTTGAATGCCGTCGACTTTCAGCTAACATTACAGGCGTGATCAATGCTGACTTTCTCCGTGTGATATCAAAAACATTGACAAACAGCAGGTGTGAGCAGAATAAATTAAATAAGCAATAACTGAGGGAGGGAAGATAGTTTGATGTAAGTCTATATTTTCAGGCTGATATCACATGACAACCGCTGCAGGCACTTTGAACTAGCAAAGGGAATTCAAACTAAATGATAGATTTTTTAAGAAACGAAAGCTTCAATCTTGAGAGAAGTTAGCAATTGGCTGTCATGCATTGTATCGAATGCTTTAAGTGGTGTTTTGTGGAAGTGCGCAAGCAATAAGTAACACTTAATAATGAATTACCACTAGCGAACCCTTAAGATGCTTTTAAGGACCATGCATTATTTATCTCTTCTATATTAACCTGTCTTTTAGACCTTGAAGTAATATCGGGGCGGATTTAGAAAGCATTAACAGTGTTTTTTTCTTGTTTGTCGTGCGGGAAAATCGCTGAGGTCGAGAAAATAAAACGAGCATCTTTCCGCAGTAACCCCGCTGCAGTGGCACAGTAAGGTAGGTCTTGTATGCAAAGAGTATCATATCGTGTTTTTCACTTTCCCTTAGTCATGCTTATTTTAAATATTACAAAAAAATAACTAAATGTTTGGCTGCATGAGAGCTATGTGTTTTATAAACAAGACATTTTCGCGCTAATGTTTTCCTCAGTTAAGCATCTTATTTATATGAAATAAACTGCCAATCTTTTAAATGTACTACGGTTTTACAAAACTTTTGATTGGATAAAGGATTTAGCGTTTTAAACGTCTTTAACATAAAATGCATTCTACAATGTAACACTAAATTGCATCTCGAGAGGAAATGATTTTTACGTTCGTTCAGATCGATAAAACTCATGCGTAACAAATGTGAATCATTGCTCAAATATTCGTGAGAGACTCGGTGACCATGCGGTGATCAATATTTATTTTGTACAACATAAGTTTACTCCGAGGTATCCTCGAGATCTACCAGTCGATGCAGGCCCTTCCTTTTTCAGGATGTGACAGAGAATATTGCCGCTGGTTTGTATGTGACGATATAAAAGCGTGGTGGTAGTTAACCGTCTTTTAAGACAAGGCCGTTTTGATCGCTTCATGAGGTTTTTGCTAGTCTTGATGTGGAAATTAAAACGAAAGTTTACTAAGGCAGAAAAAAAACGAATAATGAATCGAATCCAAGTAATGAGTCGAAATAAAATATCTTACTACATGTTCAGCTGAGTTAAGTCAGCTTGGCTCAAGGTTTCTGATAAATTGATTAAAAATGAATTGTTCGCAAGACCCAATGTCGCCCGATTGACAACAAAGATAAAGGCCACAAATTTTTTTCAAAGAAAACAAAAGGGAGATTGCGATGAATTTGTACCGAAAACAAGGAATTTCATTGCATGAGGAAAAGTTAATTTTATGTTCGTGTCTCGCTTTTGATTAAGCCATGGTTTATCTTGCAAGTGGCTTTTCACACTCAGAAAAATCAACCATTTAATTCAATTAAGCAGGGGCACGTTTTTGACCTGGATCTGAATATGACTAAATTAATGCCGGATTGCTTTGTGTACAGAGTCAATTATGATTTGCACAAGAATGAAGTAAGCTAATTTCCGGTTTCGTTTTCAAGGTATATTGACTTGGAATAAAATATGATATGAGTAAACTCATTTTTTTCCTGACTAATTGCAGCAGGACATACCGCTTGGCAAACTCGTCACAGGTTGTCAAGTCTTTTGTTTCAAGTTCACGTTTCGAATACGGTTCAAAAAGAAATTGCTGCATAAACGCACACATACATTTTTGTGCAAATAGGATAAGAGAGTCATAAGAGGTATGGCTTGTTGTAATTTTAGGACAACATTTGAGGATCTGTTGTAATATATATTTTGCTTGTACCAGCGCAGAAAACATATCGAGTTGTATACACACATATGTAAATCTTATTAAATAGAGCCGGTTGCCAAGGCTTTCTGTTACGCACGAGAATGTTGAGCTGTGTAAACTTTGCCCTGTCTGATAATTAACACCGGCAATAAAAAATTCTGGATTAAATGGTTTAAGGTGAGTGAATTAGACATTTCAAAAAGGTTTTACTGTGCATATTTTTTCAAAGTGTTTCTTTTCTCCTCTATTTATTTTGTGTCCCCAAATTAAAATTTCCCTAGGCTACAAGGCTATCTACATCTAAGTAGCAGTATCAAATGGCTTATTCGAGAAATAAAAACGCGTACTTAAGCATGTTAGACGAAAAGATTTTCTGTAAAATAGGCTTAAGCGGTCTGGCCACTACATTAGGCTGCGAATTACATGACTGGCCATGTCTGTTTACCATAAACTCGTCTCAGAATTTTTAGCTTAACTATTTATTTCTTTGTACTTTTGCTGCTTGCTTGGAAAGCACCACAACGAAGCCAAAATTTGAGCTAATTTTCGATACATTTCTTTTTACTTAGTTTCACTTGACAATAATTTTCATGGTAGATAACTTAAGGGGGTATGGTACCCTAAAATATGGCGATGTTCATGAAAAATTCAATTTCTTGGAAATACA